ACCATTTGTGCCACGTCCGCCAAGACCTATTGGGAGAAAGGTGGCAAAGGCCAAGAGAGGGGGCACTTCGACCAATAAATGTGTACAATTATTGGAGCAAATAATGCATGTTGTGTTGAACGAGATGTCATTCCATGATTCAACTCCATCGGATTCGCCTTTGGATTCCCCGATGAGTCAAGACTCACTAATACAAAAGAGGTCGAGCCTATTGGAAGAAAGGCGGCAAAGGCCTACATAGGGAGTACATCAAGCAATGATACTGCAAAATATCTGGAGTAAATTGCAAGGAATGTCACCATGAGAATTAAATTAGACATGAAAAAAGATGCAGACAAGACGGTAATGAATGAAGAATATGCAAGAGAAAGGGAGTATGTACGCAAACCAGACATAGAGGATAGAGAGATGAAAATCATGGCCATAGATACGAGTCATATGTCTCCCGAAACAAAAGCCTATTGGAAGTTACGACGAAGAGATGTGATGAGAAGAAAACTTTTCCATGACAACGGACCTAGCAATACGGATTGGTTAAATGATGAAAACCATTAGGAAGCAATTGAAACACCTTTGCCATATGTTATGAAAATCATGGCCATGGATACGAGCCATATGTCTCCCGAAACAAAGGCCTATTGGACGCTACGACGAAGAGATGTGATGAGAAAAAAACTTTTCCATGACGATGGACCTAGCAATACGGATTGGTTAAATGATGAAAACCATTAGGTTGTATTGAAACACCTTTGCCATATGTTGTATTGTTGTATTATCCTTTAATTTGTTGTATTGTTTCCTTTTTATTCAATAAAAAAAGCATTAAATAAAATGACTATTTATTAAAAACATTTGAGCATCAAAACAAATATTAATTTAAAAAAACCTTCATTTATTGCAAACAACACACAAAACAAACAATACATAAAAGCATAATAATTAAAAGCATAATTCCAAAAAAAAAACCACACACAAAATAGAACATAATTAAAAACAAAGCATAATTCCAAACAAAGAACTAATCTTGACT